TGTGGCGGGTACCTGTGGTCCCAGCTACTTGGGAGGCTGAGGCAGGAGACTCGCTTAAGCCCAGGAGTTGGAGGTTGCTGTGAGCTACGGCACTTTACCCAGGGGGATAGCTTGAGGCTCTGTCTCAAAAAATAAATAAATAAATAAATAAATAAATAAAAACTAGTTCAATAAAGACGTGTTGTAGTCGCAAGGAAACAGACCCTCAGGGTGAGAACTCAAATTAGCACACGTAAGGCGGCACCTGTGGCTCACAGAGTAGGGCGCCAGCCCCACACACATATTGAGCGTGGCCGGTTTGAACCGGGCTCCGGCCAAACTGCAACAAAAAATAGCCGGGTGTTGTGGCGGGCGCCTGTAGTCCCCGCTACTTGGGAGACGGAGGCAAGAGAATCGCATAAGCCCAGGAGTTTGATGTTGCTGTGAGCTGCAGTGCCACTCACTCTAACGAGGGCGACAAAGTGAGGCTCTGTCTCTTAAAAAAAAAAAATTAAAAAAAAATTAGCACACGTTTCCACCTCGCAATAGCTCAGCCATTACTTCAAGCGTCTTGCAGAAACTCTGAGCTCAAGAGTCTGGGCGATTCAACTCCTCAAACCTTCTGCCCTCTCCCCTTGCCGGCCCAGTTCTTTCATATCCCTTTCAACTTTCTTCAGACCCCAATCCCTCTCGCCTGCGAATTCCCAAAGCTGTTCCTTCCAGTCTCAAACTTCACTTCCATCACCTCCGCGTTCCCTGCCCCTCCCCCCACAATTCTCGCCCCTTCAGGCCCTAACCCTCCCTCAGACCCTCTCACCCGCCAACGTCCCACCTGTATCTTTCGCCTCTTCAGCGCCGCTGCGTCCAGCCACACGCCGCAAGCGTCCTCCTCGGAGCCGCTCCGCTTCATGGCTGTGGAGGTGACCAGGATAGTAGCCCGCCCGGCTCTGGAAGCCTCCAGGAACAGCCTCCGCCGCCTAAGTTCAGAACGCGCGCCAACGCTGGGGGCGGGGCTACGCCGCGGACGCCGCCGGCTCAGATACCGCCCCCAGGGTCAGCCCCGCCCGTTTCTCGAAGCCACGCCTCGCGTTGACAAACGCGCTTCTAGCCTCAGGTGCGTGGGGGGTCTTTGCCTTCTCCTGGGCGTGCATGTTTTTCCCGAGCTTTTCAGTCTAGAGCTAGATTCCGAACAGCTCTCCTACATCGTCAGGAATGTGCATTTATTTTTGCTGCATTGCAGATTGCTTGCTGTAAATATGTATAGCCCGAACCCCTTGAGATTTTAGTGCCCCGTCATTTTTTGTGACCCATTTAAGTTCTGACTAGGCTCTTCCTTACTTGCACGCACCTGATACCTGCTCGCCACCTGCCCAGTACCGTTTGTTGTCACATTAGCTGTTGGTGTGCTGGGTTTTTGTCAAGCAGTAGGTGTGAACCTAACCACGTTCCCTCAGCCGAAACGGACTCTTCTAGGCCAAGGGAATACCAGAAAAAAACTTTTTTTTTTTTTTTTCAGTTTTTGGCCGGGGCTGGGTATGAACCCGCCACCTCCGGTATATGGGGCCAGTGCCCTACTCCTTTGAGCCACAGGAGCCGCCTTTTTTTTTTTTTTTTTTTGATGAGGCGGAGTCTCATTTTGTCATGCTGGGTTGAGTGATGTGGTGTCACAGCTCACAGCAACCTCAAACTCTTCGGCTCAAGAGATCCTCTTGCCACAGCCTCTAAAGTAGCTGGGACTATAGGCGCCCACTACAATGCCTAGCTTTTTTTTTTTCTTTTTAGAGACGGGGGGTGGGGGTGGGGGGGTGTCTCTTGCTCAGGCTGGTCTCGAACTCGTGAGTTCAAGCAATCCACCTGCCTTGGCCTCCCAGAATGCTAGGGTTACAGGCGTGAGCCACCGTGCCCAGCCCATAAAAAAACCTTACCGAGTTCCCAGCTATGAAAGCACGGGA